CCTGATGGGTCAAATGTAGCCACAATAAAGCGGAAGAAAAACGTTGTAGGCAAACTAAAAGTTTGTCTATTTTATAACAACAATAAGTCTCAGAATCCTGTTTTATACGTGACAGTATTGAAAGCGTCATCCTTGAGACAGGARGTTGTCACGCAAAAYGAGGATTTATACATTCAAATGCACGTGGACWCTAGAGAMGACAAGACYCAACAAACTAAAAGCGTCAGTACATTTTCAAACACTGCAGTATTTAATCATTTGTTTCAAGTCCATGATATCACATTAAGGGAGYTGAAAGTGTCCACGATCAAGCTAGTACTGGTCAGTGGACATTCCCAACAAGARGAAGCCATTGCRTGCGTCCCATTGGCTGAGCTTGTGGCTCGTGATAAAATCAAAAAGACTTATTTATTGAAAAAGTAYTCATCAAAAGAGAATGAGGTAAGATGCATCGTGGTAGATTGTTATTAATTAGTTGGGATTTGGTTTCTATAAATGACAAGGTAACGAATTTGTTTTACATGAAATCATTGCTGTTACTTGATTGTGCAAAAAAAAAAAAAAAAATACAAAAATACAAAGCACTATATTTTACTATCACGATGTTTATAAGAGTTTTCTTTAGTATCCGAACCAAGCAAACTAAAGAAACGTATTTGTGTAACATCAYCTGCAGGTTAAAGAAAGTGACCCAGATCCAAAAGTCCCTGTTGGTGCATTGCATCTTGGTCTCAAGTATAACTCTGTAGATGAGAAACTGCTGGTCAATGTTACTAAGGCTCGCGGACTTCCTTCCATGTCGGAGACTGGAGAAACTGGTAAAAACTGTATTTTAGAATTGCCTATCTTATAAATGTAATCTAAAGCTATTGCTATCATTGTTTGCATGTCACAGATCCCTACGTCATTCTGACCGTGAAGGACGATGGGAAGATAGTGGACGAAAAGGTTACGTSCACAAAGTGGAAACAACGAAATCCYCAATTTGATGCAAACTTTGTACTCGAAATCAGTCGTGAAAGAATYGGAAAAAGCTCCCTATTGCTTCGGGTTATGAACAATTCCGCCAATCACAGTCTGATAGGCGCTGCAAACATTGGAATGGAATCGATTGAGGACTCTGGACGGCAGCATTGGGAATGTGTCATGACTCAAGATGGAATTCACGACGAACGGTGGCATAAGTTGTTGAAATAATACATCAATGTTAACAGAAAAATCCATGTAAGAATTTCATCAAGAAAAAGAAGAAAAAAAATGTACTTTTATACAGTGTTTATAAATAAAGAGTGAATGCATTAGTAATGCATAATCCAGTTAAATGCATGTTAGATTAATTTACTTTATATACAAAATGACAAAAGAAAACGATTTAAAATATCAACCCACTCATGACGTCATGGTGGCTTAGGCATTTAAACTTATTAATTTTATTACAAGTCATTTTGGGTTATTTCTCTTCATTTATAAATTATCCCATCAATTGCTGAAATACTTCAGTAGAGGGTTGAATATCTGTCTTGTAATACCGTTAAACGTGAATATTTTCATGATATAACGTGACTTAGTAACTCCCACCTTCATTACRAAGGCAGAAAAACACTTGCATAAGAACAATGATTACTCCTTCGACTAGAACGCAATGTGATTCGAATGTTGATTTTCACGAATAAACAGGCTGCAAAATAAAGTGACTATTAATCAAGCGACCTTAGGGTGCTGCGAAAAGTGAATTCTCGTCGTGAAGAGGAGATAAATATGCCAAATTTGTCGTTGCTAAGCGTTATGCACGAGCGATCGTATATGTGTGCTCATTTTGCTAATTGATATGCAGATATTAAATCCCTTGATACGACAGACTGCCGTCCGAACAACCTCCGCTTCTCAAATTACACTATTTTGAATCGAGAAACACGATAGAAGAGCGGGAAAGATGGACTACAATAACTGAAATGACGGTGAGTTTAAGTTTGCTGTGTAGAGGAATTATATTATTGAAGTATTCAAGAAAGTTTTCTAAATTATTTATTTGGATAATTCAATCCAGAGCGTAGTTTTGTAGTCACGTTTGGTTAGCGAATTCACTATCATTTCGCTATTTCTCACCACAGGATACAACGACATTAGGGATTGCTTTGGGTGCTTTACTCGGCTTTATTGCCGGGGCAATAGCTGTTGGGCTAGTAGTTTTATATTTTAAGAGGAAAACGAAGTCATATGATACCGATGACGGACCAAGAAGATCCGTAGAATATTTCGCTTCGCCACCACAGAATCTTGTTCCTTCCCACACACGTCCTGTTCCTATACAACCAAATGTGTACAGATTAAAGAAAGAAACARAGGAAGAAGAAGCTGAAGTGGACGACGGAGAAGAAAGAGTGCGTGTCACTGAACCGTAYGATCACCGAGCTGTCCAAATGGGTGTAATCAGCGAAGAAGAGGAACAAGGTGCTCAAATCACCGAACTACCTCAATCTAAGGACGAAGAATCGCCAGCAGCAAAGCGCAAAAAGCTCTCAAGAGGATTGAGTCTACCTACAAACATCGTATCTTCAGATTTAATTCACTATAATCAAGATATCCTTTCCAGAGATGTGCAGCAACAGTGTGTCCTCGAAACGTCGATGTTTTACGATACCGCTAGCAAAGAACTGCATGTCACTGTCATTCAGGTCATTGGAATACCGACTCCTGACGAGAGTTTTTTGCGTCCGCCTAACTGTAGTGTTAAAATGCGAATTTTGCCTGAAATGCTTACATGGCAGTGGACGAGAAAGATTTCCCGCACTGTCAGTCCTGTGTTCAACGAAACCTTTATAATACCTGGATTTGTACACAATAAGTTGAGAGAATGTACGGTACATTTTGTTGTCCTTGACTTTGACCATGTGCAGGACAACGTGTACGTAATTGGTGAAGTTTTTATGCCTTTATCTGAACTACGAGCCAATAGGCTTGAAAAGATCTCCAAGAGAGTGAATCCACTATCGATTTGAAGACAATAGCAAGATATTTATAAGATAAAATTAATTTATGTTGTTCAGTTTGGTGAAAAAGGGGAAATGTGTCCTTTAGTTTGTTTTGATAAAGGTATCAACTATACATGTACAATGCAGTTGTACTGGTGTATTGTATTGTTAATTGTTCATATCATGTTCTTTTCTTTGTAATAAATTAATGATATATTATTTAATATTAAATCAATATATTATTTAGCATTTGATATCTTTGGGTTTTCGACGCGTTTTCGTTGTTTTTGTCATGTTTTCATCATTTCGCTCAATTCGTTGAATCTACTTTGCGACGTTCGAATATTCTCCGCATTTCTCAATCTTTGGCATTTTCGGCATTGTGCAACTTGGAATGTTCACTCAGGAATCTCCGCAGAAGTGCATATCGCAAAAGCGATCATTAGTCGATGAATTAAAAATCAGTCTTCATCTTGACTGTGACTTGACGTTTTGAAAACAAGTGCCCATCAAGTTGTCATTTTTTTGGCACTAGTCGCATTTATAAATCAAACAAAAGTCAAACAAGGACATTGTTTTCATAAACTGTTAATTTGACAGCTAAAAWATCAAACCAGGAGCGAAATGTCATGAYTTTGTAAAATCRCTCTTAAAGGTGACATCATCATTAATCGTAATCATTGTCATTCGGAGAAGGCCTGGGAACGAGACTGCTCATCTACTTCAAATGTCAGTTTATTTAGTAACACAGTTATGAGAACAAATACAAGAAACTRTTATTTGAGGTGTTAAGTTATTTTTTAATAAAATTGAAGAATTGATTTGTTTTTGAGAGTACGTGCACTTGAATGAAGTATGATCGTAATTAATTCTTCATTGCTTCATTCCAGTAATCAAGCGTGAATCAACGTAAGATGTATATGGACTTAATATTTTTATACTGCCTTATGATTGGTCAAATCAGCTCTTGTTATTCTACTGTCTTTAAATAAGTGCGAGGGCACGTATATAGTAGTCTATTAGATTTTAAGTGATTCATTTATGATGACTTGAGTATATTTTATCAGAAAGTCGATGRAAAGGGTCCTCAATTACTAAAAACCATGTGGAAAGACAGGGAAAGGTTATGGACTACGTGACCAATGGCTAGTGGAGGTATGAAATAAAGTAAAATCATTTTAGAACTAGAATCATCTAAGCGGAAATCAATCATGATCTATCACGATTCTGCTTTATTGAATGAACTTTTTTTGTGTTTTTAGCATTGATAGGAGCTGCTTGTGGAGTAGGGGCTGGGATACTGCTTGGAATTTTATTCTGTTTGATATTTGTGTACTTAAAGAACAGAAATGATCGTAAAGGAAGATCCAGAAAGAGAAGTTTTCCACCACCTGGACCTAATATTATTCACCCACAGTCGCCTCCGTCATTTAAGATCCCTCCAATAGTCCCCGTAGCAATACAGCCAACAGTACGAGGAAATAATACGCCTTATCAATTATCGCCTCCCATCATCTCACCTACCTTATCTGATGGATCCAGAACCTCTAATAGTGGCGCAAGACGTCCTTCGGTTCAACTAGGAGAGATTCTTACTAGTGTAAGCATGATCGATAACCCGCCAGATCGCAAAGTCAGCCCGGCAAGCGTAAGGGCAGCCAATGAACCAGCAATTGCTAACCTATATAAGCAGAAAAAGAAAATTGGCAAGAAAAACCAATTGAAGAAAGCAAACRCAAGTTCTGTTCTGGGTAAACTTGAATTTTCGCTTTTCTATGACCAAAGTATACAGGAATTGCAGATCTACATAATGCGCGCTCTTCAGGTGTATGTACCCGGGTCTGACGGACCGGTTAACCTTGCCGTTAAGGCTGTTGTCTTGTTTGATGGTGAGCCAGTATGGCAGGATAAAACGGAGACCTCAGAAGCTTGTAGTGAGCCTGATTTCAGTGAGCAACTTGTTGTCCATGATTTACCAACCAAGAAAATGAGAAAAAGCTCGTTGAGGCTGGTTGTGTTGGATGATAATACTGGTCAGGCTGCTGGAGAAGTGGTCTATCCACTGTCAAACCTTCCTTTCAATCAATTCACCACTGAAACTATGAAACTTGCTGAAGCTGAAGACGTGGACTTTGGAAAAGAGAATCAGGTATTTGTACGAGACTCATTGTTGTACTTTAGAATATAATAGTAGTAAGGATTTGGTGAGGGTAAGAATGAAATAATGTAGTAAAAAAAGACATTGTTYACCAATTTTGCTTGCTCATGCTGTGCGAACAAAAATGTTTTTCCGGCTGGAAATGTTGAAAATGATGAAAAATTTGCGGGATAGAAACAAAAAGTGTCAATATCACCATAAATCATTTATAACTGAACTACTTCAGTACCACAATAAAAGATAAAGACAACATTTTCGGACAACATTTTACACAGGAGAAATTGTTTACAATAGTTTTGAAATGATGGTCTAATCGAACTTCCTCGGTATGCGGAGATTTAGTCAAGCATATAGTAAACGTTGATTTTTCACTGCAGGATGTTTAGTGTACAAGAGTACTTTCGGTCATTTACTTAGAAATAACGGAAATGTTTGCTATCATTTATCAACAAGTTGATTGTACATTTGTTGTTTCAATTTTTCACTTAAAACATGAACGTGTTTTCAATGAGAGAATGCGGAATATCTATATTTAGTCAGGTATTTCCCGCGCGCGGATATAGAAATACTTAACTTYGTGACGTATATTTTACACTTGACTTGCACTGCTGAATACGCAGTTAACATTTCGAAGCGAGTTGGGAGATTTTGAAAGTTCTTGGAACATTTTAAAGTTACGTTTTAGATTATCCAGCGCTGGATATTTCTACAAAGTAACAAAAATTACTACTAAAATCTAAGTTGTGATATTTTCGTGTTTTCTTTAATGCGAACCAGTTAATCGAGATAAAATATAAATGATTTAATCTATGAGATATGCGAATAGGTATACTCAAAGTCCTCAAAGACAATATAATATTTACGTCATCAACTTAAGATTCGCAGAAGAAAATACTAGAGAAATACTAATACTTAACCAGTATTTTAGGTGAAATTTAAGGAAAGAAATTATTGGGGAACGCATTTTATGAATCCCTATCTCTTTTTTATCACTTTGAACAATTTAACTGATTCACCTGATTTCCAACAGGATCAAGGCAATTACTTTGGCAAGCTGCTTATTTCAATGTGTCATAACCGTAACGAGAAAATGCTGACAGTCGGAGTGGAGTGCGCAGAGGGTTTGCCTGAAATGTTTAGAGGCACTACAGGTAACATAACAAGTCTCACTCTGTCCTTTGTTTAACATCTTTGGTACGGTTCTTTTAAAAAGCATTGCAGGCGTTTGTCTTAAAGCGAGGAATTTTCCCCGAATTTTCRAATGGGAAATTAGGAGCATGACACTTACCAAAAATCTTTCGTTTTGCTTCGTGCGCCTGCGATATTTTTGACAGCGCCTGCGCATGTCAGTACATGGAGAGCGTACTGAGCTATTCATTGTCATTTCCTTTAGATTCTTTCGTCAAAGTTGTTGTGATGCACTTTGGGAAGAAGCTTCATTCATCTTCAACAAAGGTTGTTAATAAAACACGAAATCCCGAATACGACGAAAAGTTTGACTTCGTAATACCCGACGACAAACTACCTCAAGTAACGATCTACTTCAAAGTGAAACATCGTGGGAAAGTGATGCGAGATGCATCTATAGGCGTGGTCAAACTAGGGTATGACGCTGACCATGAGACGGAATACAGACACTTAGAACAAGTCCTGGATAAACCGCATCTTTGCATTAATAATTGGCATGTGATCCGAAAGCAACGATGAATGAATAATAACAAAATGTTATCTCTCTTGATTTTTTGATTCATTGCCTGTGAAGGACGTCAAGATGTATTTATGTGTTTCTTTGTTCCAAATAATTGGAATTATAATTATTGATAGAGTTGGATGAGGCTTAAACGCTGGCGTTTTTGTTGCAAATGATGAAATAGAGACATCACTGATGAACATAGACGGTCTACACTGCTAGAGGTATATCCTCAAACACATAAAATCCTGATAAATCTGGTTGTCATACAATTATCCCTAAAATATCCAATGTGTATTTTTCAATTTCAAGACTCGTTCTTTTCACTTGTGATAAGGAAAGCATTACAGAAAATAAAATTTGTTTTAAGTAATCATTTATTAGTCTTTGTGATTGGATAAACATATCTTAATAAAATCTTCTATATTAGTTAAAATTTAAACAAAGTCATTATGGGTCCATAGATAATTATGATAAATAGGTCGCTTAGAGGAACAATAGTTCAGTTATCGTCTTCCTGCACACCCAGGTCTTGTACTGAATGTACTATATGCTGAATTTGGCCCGCRAAAAACGCCTTGAGTTGAAAAGGGATTCTACAACGGCCTTTCWTCAAACCAGGCAAACTTTAAAATTATGCTACAACGATTCATTAAAATGATCTATTTATATCCAATAGTCTTAACGATCATTACTTTTCGTTCACTTGGGGTATTCAACCACTTTTCCTTTTCTTTAAGGCTCACGTGCATCCATGAACCTTTGCGCGGCGATTTTATCACATACGAAAATTCACCATCTTTGATTTTAAACTAATCAGAAAGCACCTTTCAACACTAAGATATCATTTGTATAGCAAAAGAAACAATTGCAAAGGCTCTTGTTTTTCATCCATGGGAATAGTCCTATTTTTTTCCTTTCTCAGTCAATTTATTCATTCATTTGCCTGATCGCTACTCAGTGAGATATTTTTCAGATACTTAGGCCGAATGAGATCATGTGTCCATCAGTTTTCCGTCRTTTCCTGCCTCACAAATTCTACGCCTACCTCATAGATCTTTATTTCTTCGTAGCTTGAAAAGGCAAGTAAAACAAGCTCTATTTGAACTATTGAGAAATATTTGAATATAATTCGTAACTTCATTTGTTTTTGAGTCTGTGTGTCCTTGGATGTACGATGATATTGATTAACTCTTCTTTATGCTTCAATCTAGTAATCAAGCGTGAATTAACGTGGGATGGAGACCTAATACTATATATTTTTATATTGCCTATCGATTGGAAGAAATACTTTTTTAATTCCGGATGTCTCTAGATAAGTGCGAGTCTAGTAGATTGTTGTTGAGTACATCAATAACAATGACTTGAACAWTTTWATCAGAAACTSAGTGAAAAAGMTATGGACTATGTTACCAATGGCTAGTGGAGGTATGAAATAATGTAAAAATCAGAATTCAGAACTAAAATCACTTAAGCGGAAATTAATTAGTGATCGTCTATCTCGATTCTGCTATACCGAATGAACTTTTTCATGTGTTTTAGTATTGATAGGGGCAGCTTGTGGAGTAGGGGCAGGTGTATTGGTTGGAATTYTTTGCTGTATGATATATGYGTACTTGAAGAAAAGAMATGAGCGAAAAAGGAGATTAAGAAAGAGAAGTTTTCCACCGCCTGGATCTAATATCTTTCGACCACACTCGCCTTCCGCAATTAGAAACCCTCCAATAATCCCGTTACATATACAGCCAACAGTACAAGAATTTAACCCCGAGTATCAATTGTCGCCGCCCAATGTTTCACCTACTCTGTCTGATGSATCCAGAAGYCCTAWTGGTGGCTCCAGACGATCTTCAGTCCACCTAAACGATATTCTCACYATCAGTACGATCGATAACCCGCCAAAACGCAAGTTAAGYCCAACATGCATAAGGGATGCCAATGAACCAGYAATCGCCRATCTGTATATCACACAAAAAARAAGAATGGGTCTGAAAAGACAACTGACAAAAGTCAATGAAAGCACCATTTTGGGTAAACTTGAATTCACGCTTTTCTATGAAGAAAGCATACAGGAATTGCAGRTCTACATAATGCGCGCTCTTCAGGTACACGTACCCGRGTCTGACGGACCGGTTAACCTTGCCGTTAAGGCTGTCGTTTTGCTCGATGGTGAGCCAGTATGGCAGGATAAAACTGGGATCACAGARGCTTCTAGTGAGGACGATTTCAGTGAGAAACTTATTGTCCATGATTTACCAACCAACAAAMTGAGAAGAAGCTCGTTAAGGCTGGTTGTGTTGGATGATAATACTGGTCAGGCTGCTGGCGAAGTGGTCTATCCACTGTCAAACCTTCCTTTCAATCAATTCACCACTGAAACTATGAATCTTGCTGAAGCTGAAGACTTGGACTTTGGAAAAGAGAATCAGGTAATTGTACAAGACTCATTGTTGTACTTTACAAAATAACTTTGGTGACTTTGGTAAGGGAAAGAATGAAATTATGTAAAAAAGAGAAATTGTTTACCAATTTTTTTTGCCATACATACAAGATAAAAGAATCTCCTTTAACAAAAAGGTACAAAAATGCAGAAAACTTTCATTAGGAAACTTGTCGTATTTTGCCAGCCGAAACTCCTCGCCATGAGATTTTATTAGCACTCAAGCATTAAGACAGCGTGGACAGTAAACCTATCTAAAGGATGTCTTCTATACAATGACGATTTCCAAACATAAGAGAAAGAAAGAAATTTGTCATCGAACTGTTTACATTTGTCATTGACATTTTTAACATAAAACAAAGTATTTTCAATGAAAGAATGCGGAATGTTTTAAATATAGTCAACCGTATACCCCACGTACTGCCGGATCTACTAGAAGCACTTGACTTTATGACGCATCTGTTACATACACTTGGCTAGAACTGATGATCRAACACCATTGCGCAGTAAGTTAAAAATGTTTAGAAAAACCGAAAAAAACTGAGATGAAATATCGTTTGGGACTCTATCAAAAAACACGATTTTTACTTAAAACTATGGAATTAGAAGCTATAATGTCTCCGTTTTCTCATGAATATGAAGTAAACATTCAATTGATATTGATATAGGTACTCAGACTGGGTGAGATATTAGACCGCACATACCCCTGTGCAATATCATTTACGTCAGCACTTTTGGATTTATAATGAAGAAATACCATGAATCCAAATGAAGGAAGGTGGGGGGTTGGTTGGGGGGATGGTTGGAGGAATAGGTGAACGGGTGGTATAACCACTGATATTATCTTCCAATCACTCCTCATGACCTTGCAAGTAAAGAGTCCACATTCTTGTATAAAGGGGCCGAGGAGATCATAACCATTGTTTCAYWTCAGCCGCTCAGCGGCTATACTGTGACACTTCCATTCYATTCTTTCGTGTTTTCGTTATAACTGATTCATGTGATTTCCAACAGGATCATGGCAACTACTCGGGCAAACTGCTTATTTCAATGGTCCATAACCGTGACGAGAAAATGCTGACAATAGGAGTCGAGTGTGCAGAGGGTTTGCCTGCGATGATCAAAGGCACTGAAGGTGACAAAAACGTTTTAAACTGTCTTCTGTTTTATTTCTTATTTCAACATGAGATTTAAGAAATGACTGGATACTTTTCAAACATGTTACAGGCGTGCGCGTAAAGCAAATTTATAAAAAATACAAGCAAGTTTGTCGGCATGTCGGTACAACGAAAGATTGATAAATGTTTTGCCTCTGTTTCTTCTTAGTTTGTTCTTACGTCAAAGTTGTTGTGATGCACTCTGGAAAGAAGCTTCATTCATCTTCGACAAAGGTGGTTAACAAGATACGAAATCCCGATTACAATGAAATATTCGACTTTGTCATCCCCGATGACAAACTACCTCAAGTGACGATCTACTTCAAAGTGAAGCATCATGGGAAAATGCGCGATACCTCAATAGGCATTGTCAAACTAGGCAATAGGAATGGYCATGACGCTGACCATGAGACAGAATACAGACACTTTGAACAAGTCCTGGACAAACCGCACCTTTGCATTAATAATTGGCACGCGATCCGAAAGCACCGATGAAATAGTATTTTAAACGGCTTGTTTCGAATTCATTGGGCGTTTAAAACTCTTTAAGAGAATTAGCTATGAGGTTCTTTGACWTGAGCTAAATAGCCACACTTATTAAGCGTTGAGCCTTTTCTGGTTTTTATCCCAAAGGGAAAATTTTTGTTAGTTTGTTCGTCTTTAATTTTTTTTGTGTGTTTTGGCTACTAATACGTTATTTTAACATCATGTATCGAAATGATAATTCATATAATATCAATCGTGACTTATATAACACTATGTTATTAGTACTGTTTACGACTATGTTCTACACTATATTTYATTGTCTTTCACATGTTGTAACCAGTTTTAAATCAAAACGCGCAACAGGTTTGCACACATCTCCGAATTATAAACCAAAACATGATCGTTCAGTACTGTGTAGAACGCAAAAATTACTGAAAATATCGTTTTTTATAATTAATCKAAAATCTCTATATTCGTTTAGCACATAGGCCGAGCAATCAAAACAAATAATGTAATATTCTGTGCGAACATTTTTCCGCTAATTTCTTTAACTGTGAAAAACAATTTTTAAATATATTCAAAATTCAATTTCATCGTTCCATTCTGATTCGAGGAAACAACCGAGTTCATTAATTTCTTTGGATTCGATCGTTTCCATTTTATAATTTGTAGAATCGATTAAAAATTTCTTTATATGATTAGGATAGTTCTCGATTACCCGTTATGGAACCATTTCATTGTGATGTTACAATTTTCGAATGCCGTATAGAAGAAGTTTCCCAGTCCTACCTACACAACAATGTGTCGAGTATACCTTTAGATCAATGATATAATATCCCCGTGATTGTGATCGATTACATTAGGGTCGATTTCCCACTGAGAACAAAACATGTTCATTTCAAACGCTTTACAACTTCCAATTTCTAGAAGAAGAATTGTATACGATTTGCCTAGACATACAGCWTGTTTTTCTGCAATTTTCTCCAGAATTCAGATGACCAATTTGTTTGTRTCCAGTGTTTCACTCAATCTCTGTGTATTTATAAACGTTACACAATTAATCCAGGGTGAATATGGCGATTTATGTGATGACCCGCCCAAAGCGAACATAACGTAAGTCCGTCTAAACTCTACGCCACTCATTTCAACGCCACCTGCTGACAGGTGTCTCAATCACAAATGTCGACACAGCTTTTACTTTGGATAAGTTGAGCTGAGGCTTTCACTCGTGGAACAAGTCATGGCTCATTCTACTATTCTATTGCTTTTGCTTTCTGTTTTTTCGTCCAGTTTTGGAAGTTATGTCTTCGATTTGGACGCCAATACGTTTGAGGATTACGTTCGAGAGAAAGATGTGATGCTTGTCGACTTCTATGCACCATGGTATGTGATTAATCTTGTACATTAATGTCTGCCATAACACTGTGAGAGAACCTGCCTATGTGCGTTCTAAAAGATAGACTTTCTTTCTTGGGTTGTGAAAATTTGTATCGTTTATTGTCAAATTGTTTATTTGCAAACCTACCCGAAAATTTTGAAGTGGATGCTCTTGACTTAAGTGTTTCTTGTTGGAGAGTATTTTTGATATAATGCAGTTTGGCGGTTTCATAACAATAATAAAAAATTAAAGTGAACCCCGGGATTAAAAACCAAAAATTGACAAAATAGTCAACTAAACGAATCTGATTAATATAATTTTAAAATGAACAATGATGAAGTGTTAAGGGCGTGCCATCATATACGCTTGTGCGCACATTAAAAAAATTAGCTCTCTTATTAAATCATTTCTTTTCGCTTATTTTGAAGACATATTTGGGCCATAATTTGTATAAGTATCCGTACAATACCATAGAAAATATCAGTCTTTTTATTTGTTATATTTCGTCGGTAATATACAGTATCAAAAGCTCCGGTTTCTATCRATAACAGTACACCTTCATGTGTATTATTTTGTAGGMATGTACGCCCTTTTACATGTGTCCCTTTWAGTGCTTAATCATCCACTAAGCTTTGATATCCTTTTGATGCCGTTATATAAAATCTATTTGTCATACAGGTGTGGTCACTGCCAAAGCCTTGCTCCAAAGCTCGAGGATGCTGCATCCCAATTGGCTGCGAGACATGAGTATGTCTTTGCCAAGGTAACGTTAACTGCTTTATTTTTCGGTAAATTAGTTCATTTATAGCTTAGTATAACACCAAAATTTGCTAATATTATATAATTATATTCATCGATATGTTTATACATATATTTTTCTATAACTTAAAATTATCGAAAATGTTTTCAAAAAAGTGCTCAACTTTGTCAGGGAGCATTGTAGCAATAAAACATTGAATCATTCTAGTCTTAAGTACAATTTTATTTTATATTTATCTATATCGATTTTMCGCATAGGTCGATTGCACTCAACCCGTCAATCAAGAGCTGTGCAAGAAGTTTAACGTCCAAGGCTATCCGTCTCTTAAACTATTTAAATTTGGAACTTTCACTGGAGATTATATTGGCCAGAGAGAGAGCAGTAAGTATAAGGGCGTGGCGACACGTGGTTATGCAGGCGCGGATCCAGGACATTGAAGTGGGGGGTGAATTGCTAAAATAATGTAATAAAATGGAAGCCAAACGCCGAAGCCGGGAGCCCCTAGGGGGTTGAGGGGCATCCCCCCCGAGAAATTTTGAAATCCAGACTCTCGGACATGCGATTTGCAGCGTTTTGTGGGCCTTTTTAGTAACTCTTTATTGAACAANTTGGATGGAGTTCCATAAATGCTCGGCAAATAGTAGGTAGAATCAATCAGTCTTTGGAGAAATCAATTAATATTTCAATATTTGAGGGATAAGAGAAAAAAAAGGAAGAAGAGCTTAGAAAAATGGGGGGTGGCTAGCCACCCTATTCACCCCCCCTAGATCCGCCCCTGGTTATGTTATAAGTGAATTTCGTAAATATCTGCGTTGTAAATGAGCTGTTCACTTACTTTGTTTCAGGTGATATCATGAATTACATGGAATCAGTTGCTGAAACTACTAAACAACAATCACCTCTAACCGCCATAAACAACCCTGCATTTGTCAATCCTCAACCATTTCAACCTCAGCCTCAACCTCAGCCCTATGCACCACCCCCACCCCCYAACATGGCACAATATTTCCAACGTCCAGGATCTCCAAACCCTTCATTTTTAAATGCATACTACAGTCATCCTAAAAAYCCCGCCAATGCGCCTTTAGCCGACCAGCAGCCTTCTATCTCAGTTCATGCTCCAAGTCAAGCATTACATTTAGGAGCTAGYCCTGACTCTTTGGCAGGGAAATTTGGCGGAAACATGTTAGCTTTGGAAATCTTACGATCTAAACTCAAGATGATTGCGGCCTACAAAAACTGGCAGAAAAGATTAAAAGAGTACAAAGACAAGATGGCTGAGGCGGCAAGAATGAACCCATAYAATCGTGCCAAAGTGGGAACAGTCAAACATACAATTCGTAAACCWTCAGACCACGCGCACCCTGTCAAGCCCAAGGCATTTTTTAAGCGACCAAGAAAATATCAAACAAAGAAGTATCCCCGTACATTTCCCTACAATCCTMGATACCAGAGGCGGCCATTTAGTCCAGTGACAGGACGCTCGTCCATCTACAATCGYCTCTGGCAACAAAAAGCAGCTGCTGCTWMCCGTGAATACCGACAGAAGGTGGCCGAGTATCAAAGAAAACGMCTTTCYGATTACAAGCGATACTATATACCTTATGCAAGACAACAACTATATCAGGCTTTTCCACGTAGCAATATCGCGCGGCCTTTAGCAGTCGCKCAGCCACAGACTGCAGCTTACCAACCACAACCTCAGCCACAGCCTCAACCTCCTCAGCCCCGACCAGTAKCTCCCCAGCCCCGACCTGTAGCTCRGCCCCGACCAGTAGCTCCACAACCCCAAGCAGTAGCTCCTCAATCCCAAGTTCAAGACGCTCAACCACAGTCTRCCTATACTGGTATTCAGCCTCARGCACAATCCCCTGTTGTACAACCACAAGTTCCAGCARCTCAACCTCAACCTCAGGTYCCTGAACCTCARCCCCAAGTACAGGTGGCCGATCAACCTCAATCCAATGCACCTGTTGTAAAAAATCAGCCCAAAGCATCCGCGGATCCACTGCAGGCCCAGGTTACCGCCGACAAAGCCATGAAAAAGAAAGTAGAACAGTCAAATKCTGACCAATCGATCAGTGACTTAAAACATGACATMGAGAACGCCATTCAAGACGCTCTYAACAACAAAGCTGACAGCAGTGAAACCAAGCCTGCTGTCAAGTCCGAGCAAAAGAACCAAAAAACTGTGGTTGACACGAACGGAAGTGGGTCTGGTAGTGGACTGAGTAACGTCAGTATCACTGGAGCACATTTCGCTGACGCAAGTGGATCTGGTTCCGGTTCCGGTGAACCTTCTACAAAGAACGACAAAGTTGGTGGTGAATCTTAATTTACCATACTAACGTAGTGACTCTATTTTGCCGATATTTGAACGGCGATACAAGACATTTTTTATGCTTTTGAAGCAATTTATTCAATTGTACATTTCGATTAAATGTTGACGTTGTTTTTTTGTGATACTAAATCGAATGGTGCTCGCAGTGGATCATTGTTAATGAGAGCGTTGTAAAAATCGACCTGGATATCGTCTATGGAAAATAAAGTATGTTTTTGTATAAAAAGGGAATTTCGTTTGGATTATTGTTAAAGAATGCCCAAGATAAATTACCAGCAGATAGTAAAAAGGAATGGAAATATGCAGAGTAGGAAAGTAAAAGCTTAGGATCGCAACATCAAAAGGTGCGATGAAAGAAATGATGCAATACCTAGAAAAATAAAAAAAGGGAATGCAATATCACACAATCAATAATAAAATGAAATGAAAGAACGAACGAACGATTAATGACCGTACGAACACCGATAAACAACCGAACACCGATTGGCCATCGAAAAAAATGACGGAAAGAATGACTGCAAATGTCAGAAAGAAGTTGAAATGTGAAATGGACCATAAKAATGTTCATGTATGGTTCATTACACCACAGCCACCTGTTGTGCAACCTGTCCAAAACAATCGCCGTTGATTGATACAAACGGTTACAGTTAAGATTCTTTATGGGAATCCCCATCAACCTGCGACCTTCCTAATAAAATCACAGCTATATCCCCTCCTAGCAATTAATTATCTTTACCATGGAAGGTTCTTTTCAGGTTAACAAATGATATTTATTTTTGTTTAATGTGAATGTTTAGATGGTCTAAGTGTCATTTGGTTGATGAAATCATTGACTCAGCCAAACATTTGCCGATCAACCAATCGCATGTCTCCACTACCAATTAACCATGCATCACCGAGTCCAAACAATCACGATTTCACTGCCAGTGAATACTTTCTTTCTCCAGGAGTAAAACTATTTTCTGGAGCAAAAAATGATTTCGTTTGTAGGCCTTATTTTAGCGTGCTTTGTAGCGTCTTCGTACGCTAAGAATGAAATTTTCACTCTTACAGATGAGAATTTTGATCAATTTCTCCGAGATAAGGCTGTGATGTTGGTCGACTTCTACGCTCCATGGTAAGTCTTCATTAATTCACCAATCGGGCTAAATTACCCGATTATAATCAAAATATTCTGCGAAAAAAGCGCACAGTTTTGTGCAAACATCACATATTTCTAAAAATGTAAAAATTTCATAAAAAACTTGGACCAAAATGGAATTTGTTTTTAGTTTCTTGAGTTGTTTGTGAACACGCAAGGAAGCGCATTTATTTATGACTTAAGCAACAAACATTTCTCTCTGTCCTTTGTATAAGTTTATGATTTAACAATAAAGAGAAAATCAGTCAGCAAAAATCTCATTTTGCCTGATAACGTCTATAAGCATGCGCAGAAGGGCTTTAGTTATGCTCTCAAATTTTAAAAGTAATACATCTACTCGTATACTCAATATACAGCAGTTATCTATTGGTTACGGTAGCGAACATATATGATTAACAGGATGGTTTAGAACTCATCTTGGTCTCGTGTCGYGTAAAAAAGAGTTTGAGCTTATTTGTATTATCTATAGGTGTAGTGATTGTAAAAATCTCAAACCACATTTCGAGAAAGCTGCGCGAGACTTCGGGAAACGACACAAGTATGTCTTCGCAAAGGTTTGTACATCGAGTACTGAATTAATTAATAATTAATATTTCATTAATTTATTATTGTTTTAAAATATCAATTTTAATAATTATTTATTGGTCTTTTGCTAGGTTGATTGTTTCGGTGCTGGTAGATTCACCTGTGCGAACAGGTTTGGAATCCATCAATGGCCTACTTTAAAGATGTTTAAATATGGTCAATATCAGGGAGACTACACTGGACCATATGATGAAGGTAACGTGGTTATTCTAGTACATCAAACATGTTTTAAGCTCCACACAATAGTTGGCCATGGCGCAACAAAAACTTTACAAATGAATATATGGCATATGATRTTTTGCAGTTGGTTAGTTTAAAACTAATTAATTTCTCCGGAATCTAAAAAAACTGTACACGAGGGCGCGCCTCTTAGTACAGTTGGCAGATCAGTATAAATAAATAAATTAAATAATTTAAAATGTCTTTGTATTTCAGGGTACATCGAAGGTTATGTGAAAAACGCACTTGATGACGAGCCCGAGCAGCAACAGTACGACTCCCACGCTCCTAACGGCCTTCCACTTAGTGGACAACAGTATTCTAACGGATGTTCGCAATATGGATGGGGCTACAACTCGATTTCACCTCARGCCTGCGKCTAAGAACATTACTGACTTCGAACTGACATGTCGTCTATGACTACTATTTCTACGAAAGCTCGACTATTTTTTGGAGAGATTTTGTTAATGTTTTTTACTGAACTGTCAATCACGAAAACGGCGGATTTTTGCGCAAATTGATCTTGATTGACAGGTTAGAAAAAAACATTGAAGTTTGAAACTTTAGGTCGGAACAAAACGTTTTGATAATAACTTTATCTTGAGTTTTATTTATTCGATATTGCATATCTTTACTCTATCCAAGACGAATTGAAATTGTTGGGTCATAATGGATGTCCGCTTTAATATTCCGAATGTCGCTCGAATATGCTCCGATAGATTCCGAGCATATAAACAAAAGTTATGGTGGACGGGTATTGTGTCCTTGTTTTGATATCGCAGGAAAAGATGAAAATCTCAGTATAACAATTATGTTATTTAAAAGCAACAATTCATTCACRTTGAAATTTTGATTGCTTACATTTTTTCATTCATAATTCAATTTCATTAAAACATTAATACAAATTAAAACATTAATAAAAACATGTATTTATCTGTTATTATTAGATTGATCAATGGTGCATCATCTAGCTTTGCGTGCAGACAGTTTTTGACAAGTAATAAAGAATAAACTGAACTATAGGCATAACAGGCTAGTGATTGCGTGAAATGACTTCGCTCGTCACGCAATCGAAGATTGTGTTACAAGGTAGTTTCCCCATACTACTATTAAGTCTTCTTTTGAAAAGAAGTTCTCCAAGTTCCGCGTTTGCCTGTGAATGTCAAAAGAGCTTTAAAACATTTTTGGTGTGGAAGAACATTTTCGAGAGAAACCTTCAACGTTACTCGGTAACGTATTCAACCAATCAGACCACGACAGCTCAAAGACCGCACTTTCCACGTGCTCGAAAACAGCCAATCAYGTACCGCCACTACTGAATCGGTTCTGTTCAACGTGGAAGACTGTCACAAAGTTCTTCTTCTTCTCCTTGTGTGTAGAAAAATTGTAAAAATGATTCCACAAATAGGCTTAATCTTAGCTCTTTTAGGCTCTGCGTTTGCATCTGATGTTATAGAATTGAAAGATGAGGATTTTGAAGCTAGTGTTAAGGGTAAAGACATAATGTTGGTGGAATTTTTTGCTCCTTGGTAAGTCAGACCTCGGTTTTTGTCCCTCGTGCATGCATGGTTCAAAAACTAAAATAATTTCATTAGGTGTGGMCATTGTAAACGACTTGCTCCGGAATATGAGACTGCAGCAACTTCACTTTTAAAGAACGATCCTCCAGTTCTCTTAGCAAAGGTAGGAAAACGGAGATTTCTATGTTTATCAACAAAAAAAGTTTATAGACAATGAAATGTACGTTTGTGTGAACAGATTGCCAACTTCATAAACTATTTACTTTGCTTTTGTGGATTAAGACACTATTATACTTTTATTATTTGAACACAAGCGTGATTTTATTGAACATAGAGTGGTAATATATGGCAATAATTAACTAAATGAAATAATGTTAATAAAAAAAGAAATTGATACATTATTATGTTGCAAGACGAAAATGAAAAAAATGATTAAAAAGAAAAATAGCTATACTTATTACATGATTTGTTTGACTGAGTATTTACAAAACATCTACTGTTTGCTGAAAAATATTTTTGTGAAATAAATTTTATATAACATTTCTATATCTGATTAATATATTGATGAATAAATTATATATTTCTATGGCTATTGTTATTACATGTAATTACTAGTTATATATGGGACTTTGTAAGATGATTCATCAAAAGCTTTTATTGATTTATTTCTTAATTTACACCACTACATTGTTCACATGGCAACCTGTTGATTGACAATTTGCAATTAAATGGTTTAATGGCAAGTTGCCTGCTCATTTCTTTACAGGTTGATSATATTTTATTTGCTTTTTGTTTAGGAAACAATYATTGTACAATCAATGAAAGCTTATTTGAGTGATTAATCATGAAATCATGTTGACAAGAATTGATTTAAGGAAGTAAATGAGTCCATTTACTAATTTGATTCAATGACAGGTTGATTGTACAGAATCTGGTAAAGATTCTTGCAGTAAGCATGGAGTCAGTGGATATCCAACTCTTAAAATATTCAGAAATGGAAAGTTTTCCAAAGATTATGATGGGCCCAGAGATTCGTGTAAGATGTTTTCTATTGTGATAAATTATGTACTGAATAAAGATAGCAACAGTACTAACGTCTCAAACATTGCTGCTGTTATTGGAGTGGTAGCCTGTGTAAATCTGCTTCTCAACCCTCCCCGATTTTTTTTAAGGGTTGAGAAACGGATGTACACATGCTATGGAGTGGAAGAGCTAAATAAAAGGTTCTAATGATACGGTAGCTGCCAGAGTGCTGAAACATTTTGATGAGCTACTCACATCTTGAAAATTTATGATTATGAATTTTATGWATTTATGACATGTTTTGCAAAGAACATAATTTGAGTTTCATTTTTCTGCTCTTTTATTTTAGCTGGTATTGTATCATACATGCAAAAACAGGCTGGTCCAAGCTCAACAGGTAAGAGTGATTGTTTGAAGTTGAGTTTTTTTTATCTATTTCTAATCTTTGGATATACATGAAGGTGGATAAGAAGCTTATTTTCTAAAGAATTAGGATTCATAATGTAGTCTTTATTRTTCCCTGTGCCATCTTGAAAGGTTGTATTAAAACAAGACGCTTGGTGAGCTGGCTGTGGTAGGATCTATGAATGATAAATATATTTTCTACAGGCATTTGAAACAATAGTTTATAGCATTACATGCTCACCAGACCCCTTGTATRGTTACCTTTCATGATGGCGCAGGAAACTGTGAAAAGGACTAGCATTGTTTTACATAAATAAATCACTTATTATCATGATAAAGGAATACGTTGTCAGCAATCTTTTAAAAGATAACATTGTGAAAATCTTTCTTTTTTTATTATTACCGTTCACTCCTTAGAAATTCAATTTACTGCAACTTTCTTTTTTTCAAATGTTTGAGGCTATTTCTATTTTGTTTCCATTTTAGAAATTAAAGACATGGATCACATGACAAGAAAGGTTATAAATGCTGAAACAGCAGTGACAGTTGGTAAGATCTTTAGTTACAAATAAGATGCTATGACAGATACTTGGTGCTTTCAAGGCTAATACCTTGACCATACAGCCTCCTAATGACAATTTATTGACTTACCATGTAGGCTTTTTCTCTGGTGAAGATGATGACCTCAAAAAAGCATTTTTGMGGGCTGCAGACAATYTGCGAGAGAAATACACTTTTGCTCATACATCAAATCCTGAATTGTTGGAAGAGTTTAAACACAAAGAGTAAGTAGTGATTATTAACAACATACATAGTTAATGATGTTAAAGATATTAAGGATARATATTTTCATTTAATTTCTCTGTAGTGAGATTGTCTTAATCAGACCTGGCCATCTTCAGTCCAAGTTTGAAGACCCTAAGGTGGTCTATACTGGTTCCGCTGATGAATTCTACATTGAAAAGTTCTTGAAGGCYAAAGTCCATGGTCTCGCTGGTCACATGACCCAGGATAATCAAGACCAATTTAATAAACCCCTATGTGTTGTATATTATAATGTTGATTATAAGTTAAACCGCAAAGGTACCAACTATTGGCGCAACAGAGTGCTCAAGGTGTCCAAAACTTTTGGTGGCAAAGTTATGAATTATGCCATTGCTAAGAGCTCAGATTTTGGCAGATTGATGAGTGATCTTGGTGTAAAGTTAGATGAAGACAAAGGTAATAAATGCAGATATGCTCTTGTTTTCAAGTAGTTTCTTGGGTGACGGAGTTGCAAATTTTGAGTGATTGATTGATTGACGTTTGGTTGTCTGTTTCAGATGCTGTCACACCTGTTATTACCAACGAGGCTGGTGATAGATTTGTGATGAGAGAGAAATTCAGGTGATTATGTGCAGAAACAGTAACATTACAGTACTGCATGTGTTGGTGATAATTATGTTGTTAACAATATTGTTACCAGCAATTTAATCTGAAAATTGCATTCTCCTGAATGCTACAAATTGTCATCAGTATCTTTGGAAAGCTCAATTTAAGGGGGCAAGGGGAAACTTGCTGTCTGACTAATGTTATCTCTCTTTTTTATTTCAATAGTGTGGACACATTTAAGAAATTCCTGCAAGAWTACTTTGACGGAAAACTAACACCATATGTTAAGTCTGAACCCRTACCAGAATCAAATGACGGGCCTGTGAAGGTAAATGATTGGTTGTCAATGTATTTATTGATTAAGTGCAAGCATCTGATACAATGATCTTGCCATGTGGTAATTTAAGAGAGTATGGGAAACCATTAAGAGCCTGGGAAAGGCTTATGAGATTGAATGCCATGGATTGGTTGAGAGAACAATGGATGGTTTTCCAAACAATGGAACAAAGCCCAATCTAACAATAGAGGTCCCACACTAAAGGGAGCAATAAAAAGTGGGTTTTGATTGGTACTGTATGACGGAAAGAGTACAAGTGTAGATAGCCTTTTCATAGAAACAAAGCAGGCTATTGTAAGTGTATTAAGATTTTCACAAAAATTCTTACTCCAGGTTGTTGTTGGCGAGAATTTTAAAGAGATAGTTCAAGATCCAACTAAAGATGTTCTCATTGAATTTTATGCWCCTTGGTGTGGTCATTGTAAATCACTTGAGCCAAAATACACCGAATTGGGTGAAAAACTTAAAGATGTTGAAGATATTGTCATTGCCAAGATGGACGCTACTGCCAACGATGCACCTCCAGCATTCAAAGTTGAAGGGTGAGTGACTCAATCTTWAAAAAAAAATTAAAAGTTTCCTTGACTRCTTGGWTTTGTCTAACATATTTCTTTTTYTTATCAAAGTGCATCATGTTTAATTCATGTATCATTTCTCCAAAGGTTCCCAACCATTTACTGGGCCCCAAAGAACAACAAAGACAATCCAGAAAAATATCAAGGCGGACGAGAAGTATCAGATTTCATTACATTCCTCAAGAGTAAAGCAACAACTCCATTTAATTTGGACGAAAAGAAAAAGAAGAAGAAGGAAGAACTTTAGACATTTGCACGTAAATTTTAGGATGGTTACCAATACTGTAACTTAATGCATTCTGTAGGCTCGTTTTGTGGAATAAATTTTTTCTAACAATTGATTAAACTYACCTGACATTTTTATGCTGAAATTCAAATACAAATAGCGTTTTGACTCTGCTGTTTGACTTTGTTGATTCGAGAGATGATATTTCGATTGAAATTCTGTTAATCAGGGAAATTATCAAATAGATATGTGTGATTTTTGTAAAAAAATTACCTGTTTGTATCTGAACGCTTCACCTTCCGGCTCAAAGCAGTCAAGGGACTGGTACGATTTCTGCAGTCAACGAGCTCGGATTTTTTTGGCGCCAAAATGTCTTGTATCTGATTGGCTATCAGCAGTGAGATAAAACAAAGAGTAGAGAAAGCTCACTTGTTGGAAATTTTGCATGAAAAATGTCTCCGAAGAATTCCAACGTGTATTTGAAAAGGGGTAATTATAACTCCGTTTGTTTTGAGCTACARAATTTGTTATTCAAGCTAGAGACGACTCAATTTCWTTGTCGTAAATATACTCTACAAGCAACACGTTTCCTGCCCAGAAGAAGGTAAGATTTAGGTTCCTCTTTGCTCTTGTATTTGTCAGTTGCCTACGTTGTGAATAAGTGAATGTTTATTAGCAATGGGATTTCGTTTTAGTATACAATATACGATAGCAAAGATATTGTAAGGAAAGTTAGCGTTTTGACAGCTGAACATGACACATTTAGATCATTGTAGCGATGCTAAGTTGACAGTTCTTTTGGCCAAAAGACCAGAATGAACGACTGCTTAGTTCATAGTTATTAGGCGATTGTAAACGTACTGATACAAAATCTTCAAAAGACATAAAGTAGTTTGCATTTAATGTTAAAATTTCTTTTCATATTTACTGGAGTATTTAAAAGTTGTACGTAAAGAATAATTATGGGCCTCCTGTGGCAGCAGCGTCCGAGAAATGTGATCTGGGTCCTATAATAAAGCGCACCACTTTTTGGCAATGCGCACAGAGATTCGCGCCTTTATTCTTGAGTTTTCAAAAAAAACGGACTCTCTTTGCCGGGACGCTAAAAGGGACTTTTTATAAAAGCTCTGAACGCATCAGAGTGAAAGAAATGACAACAAACAAACACACGGAAGAGTCAAAGAGTTAAAATATGAAATGATCCAAAAATCGCACATTTATATCAGTGAGTTTTTGCCAGGGTGTAATCAGAACCTTGGTTACAGAATAGGAATAACTAAAGTTTTAACATGACATTGACAATTTCAAATTATGAAGAATAATCTTATTACTTACTTATCTTAGSTAATGTTACGAAAAATTGTGCAGAATAGCCTGAGAAGTTATTAACTTATGCCTGGCTATACTTTCCTGGTTTCGTCGGTTAACAAATAATTWATATTATTGGAAAAATAGTGAAGTTAAATACACGCTACACTATGTCTCGTGAGTGCRTCSTTACCAGTTTTTGTGTCGTCATGTATAATTCCGGTTATTTTGAAATAATGAACTTTAGATCTTTTGCGTCGTGATCGAAGTAACTTTTGTACAATTATAACAAACTATTACATGTAAATTGGAAGGATTTTAATCTAAGAAACAATAGTAATATTGCACCTTGAAAGTGCCCCTATGGCTTAGACATTTCTGGAATGCTATGTCTGTTCGCAGGTATGGTGAACTATGGTGAATATAAGCAGGTACAGGTACAAGTATCGTAATAGCACATGGTAAACCATGGTGAACTATGCACGTGATACACAGCAGTTTTATATCACACGCTGGCGATCCAAATTTTCAAGAAAAAAATATCCGTTTGTCTTTTACAAACTTTAAAATTTATCAATTACGCAACGGAGAACTTTTTTGACATAATTGTAATCAAAGTTTTTGACGTCTATGCATACTCGAAAAACTGGCCGGAAACAATGAGTGGTTATCCAAACATTTCATCAAACGAAACGATATGCTTGGGTGACTCTATTTATGTTTTGCACAACTGGTGTAAAAAGACCTTGACAAAGGAATTATTCGGCTCTGTTATGGATGTCATGTCTTTTATTAAAAGGGTTTAAGATTTGTGTTGACTGAGTAGTGCAAACAATGACCATGTACCATTCGAATAGAAGCACTAGGGGGGATGAGGGAGGGATCGAAGTCGATCTTTTCTATWGAAAAGTACATTATTGATCATTTTATGGCCATTCAAAGAAAGATCGGCTTTTAATAGCCGAGAATATCAATGGTTTTTGGTAGGGCTATTATCTGTCTGGTTTTCCATATGCGGTACCACCTCATTAAACCACGTAATTGACAAGACATTGACGAGTTTGATTTTAGTTGACCCATGTAGCTTGTCTTACTAGTTAGAGACCTTTACCATGATCGTCAAAATAATACTAACAGTTTACTTTGGCAATTCGAAACAACTTCAAAACCCGCAATCATGTTATTCTAAAACTCTACTAAGGAGCATCAAATCCTGAATCATTACACAATCCGTGGGGTCTTCAGCAATTGAGGGGGCTAGCTCCGCCTACCAAATTACAYAAAAATTGACTGATTTTAAACACACATAGAAAGCGAAAAAACCTGCTACTGGTGGACGACCAAACTGTTTATACTTGAACGTGTAAATATACTGATAGGGYATATGRTTTAAATACTCGTAAAGAGAATCGAGGTGGTTTAAAAGCTTGAAAGAATGAGCTCAAGTAACWTTGAAAATAGAATTTAGTGGCATGGGTCAAATTAACCATTCAAACAAACCCATGTACTGCAATTAGATCTCAATCGATCTTGAAAGTGGGAATGTAAAGTGTTTGTATAAGGTTGACTCACCCGGTGCAATCGCACCTCCTATCATAAACACTTCATTCTAAGGAACGATCTTACCCGAAGGTCTAGTTCAGAGATTTATTAAAGACATGGTAGATCAACACTCTCCTATCGAAAACACTGACGGGGTCAATCGTGCTGAACTATCGACGATTTTCCAGATAGTTTTTATCTTGACCACAATCTTAACTAACTCCGCCTCGTGACAGATTTAAATGCGGCGATAACTAACTAAGCGCAGWGCTGTTGTCAATTTGCAATAATATGTATTTAGTTAGTCGAGAACGCGATTCTGACAGTACTATTTGTTTCTYTCAAAGAGTCTAACTATATCAATAATTGTAATTATAGCTTGCGGCGAATTTGATTAAGCAGTATTTTGATATATAGTTCTCTCCCAAGGCGTTGAACATAATCATTAAACTTTGTTTTCGAGTGAAACGTAACCTCAAACTGCGGTAAACATCATTGTTTGAAAAAGAAAATATCGGTTTTAGGTTCGATTTTCTGCACGAGTTGAAGCTATTGAAAGAAAAAATAGCCACTATGCACCCTGCGGTGCTCATTTCGTTATGGCTGTACCTTATCATTTTACCAAAAACATTTGGCTAAACTTTTAGCATGTATGACTCGTAATATCGGTGGAAAAATGGGTGATTTAACTACAGGGAAAGGTCAATGTAATAGAGTCAGCAATAGAGCTTCACGAAGTAATCAATCACTTCCATCACGATCTCACAGCAGTGTGATTGAACATATTTTAATCTCGAACATGTTGTCTCTCATCTGTGCACGAACAGCGAAGCAAACGCAATTCAAAAGCCCTATCAATCTGTAGATTCCAGACCACCTTAAAGAATAGCAATTACATCCACTAACTATCAATAACGTTCTAGATTGTCGTTCGTGTAGGTAATCAGTCCATGGGGCCGGCAAGAAATAAGATGACGACAACCCACTTAAAGTGTAGAGACTATTTATCGAGATATCAGACTAGTATGCCCAATCACCGATATCACTCAAACAATGATTTATTTCTCAAGTACTAGTGCATCCCATAAATTAATATTTCTAGAAGTTTATTCATGAATTTTTCCCGATTTGTTTCTGTGAATTTTTTTCCAAAATATCATGTCCATAGAAATATATTGTAAAAGGGTCTTTTGTACAGCGCTAGAAATGTATTTACAAAGAGTGTGTTTGTTCATGGCACGTCTATTATACCAATTAAAACTACTAGTAGTGGCAAAAAAGTACGATGATTGAGAAAAGAAAGAGCGTGACTAGCTGAATATCGTCCACAAAGACCGACAGTACACTAGTAAAAACAACCCGTAGCTGTATACAGTACTCTTAATAGCAGCATTGCTTGAAGTTCTATTACGGGTTTTACTCACTCCTCCAGCCTCCACATGCGGATTGTCTAAAACGTTTGCAATAGTCTCGTTGTATGTATTGATATCATGCACTATTCCTTTCGAATCCAGCGAAAACGCATCTTCCAGTGCACTTTTAGCTGCCTTGGTAAAGTTTCTATCACCAGTTGTGAGCAGGTCAAATACGCACGAATCTAAATAAAAGCCCTTAATTTTAGAGTTTCTACACTCTTGTGTGGCTTCTCTTCTTGTAACCTTTCTTTTGGGTAACCGCTCTTTAAGTTGTGCTTCTGTAAAAGATAGAATCTCTCTGTAGTCAATAATTTCACGTTTTGGACAACCACCAACGCAAAGTCCTTGGGCCTGTTGCGAATTAGCAAGATCTTCAGGCATCTTGATATGAAAGGTCAAAAACTGACCAACTTTTCGAATTAATAGATCCGTAGCAATGTGACATAGCTCAATTTTTATTAGCGAGTCTTTCTGTCGTTCGGTTATTTTTACTTGACAATTCGAGCTTCCAGTCTCGCTTGTTCCATCGACAAACTCAGCAGGCAATGAGTTGGCCTTTGCTTGGTAGATTTTCTGTTCGACACAACTATCTTTATCTTCATTGACTAAAACGGTGATCTACCGATGTAAATACAATAGAAAAGTGTGAAAGATTGAAGTGAAGAGCAATTTGGTTATATATAGAGAGTAAATTGTATGTTGGATTATTGGCTGTCTCAGTGCTATGAATATAACACAACGCTTATATAAACAACTGTCAAAATGCTGGCGAACTATTAAGAGAAAAGCGTGAAATCTACGAGGTTTTTGACTGGGTTTTACCCTGTGGCTGAAATCTACAAAACTATAGGGCATTGGCGGCGGGTTCTCTCGAAAGGTGCGAGGAAGAAACAGTACGATACCAAACGCAAACTGCAGGGAATTGAGCTCTGCGTGAAGACCATGCATAATGCAAAACACAATGTTATTTGTCCACGAATAACTTGCCTGAGATAGAGAGTGAATACGTTATCTTACCTTGCTTGTTGCTGTGGCGTCGAAACCTTCTACTAAAGGGACGTTAGTTACTTGAACTACTAAGAATTGATTATCGATTAAAGGCCAAGCTCCTTCGACTACACAAGTCTGTTTGAGATCGCTAAATGTTCTCAAATGTGGATCTCCAAAGAGCCCACAATAACGTTTTGATATGTTGACATTTCTGTACGCATTTCCTCGGATCGTTGGTTTACATTTAGGTTTGTTTGTAGGTTTAGGACTCTCGACAATTACGCTCGTCGTAGTCTTAAAAATCTTCAGTACTTTGGTCTCATTTTGAGGTAGACTAACATTTGAACACTTGTGCTCCTTCATAAACACTGGTATTAAAGCCTTGACAGTGTGATAGTATATAGTCGAGTGACACGATTTCTTGTGTCGATCCAAACAAAGCTGGAACAGAGTTAGCGAGGCACATATCTTGCGTTCGTTGTCACTGTCAGCTAGCCGAGATTCGTAAGGTTTTGTACATATTTCTTGGACTTTGCAGTTGTTGTTATTCTGTTTAAATGGAAAGGCTGCTAGAGTATGTAGTAGTAAAACAACCAGTGCAGGTATCTTCCACCAAATACACGATCTCATGTTATATCACAAGCATGTTGTGGAGGCCGATGACTTCCACCAAGTTTGCGCTTCACAGGTGTGATGATGTTGCCATTATTTGGCAATATCCTGTTAGAATTGTACTCTAGAGTATTTCTAAGTGTTCGGCACGGTGGAATGTCCCATTCACAATGTTTTACCGACGAWTTTCAACTGCGATTGAAGCACGGTTCGGTCAAGCGGGTTAGTCGTTCTAGCGGAATACGAACCAATTCACCTATCAATCAAAGCCTTGACAGCTCCACACAACACAACTGATTAACAAAGTCTTCTTTCGCCGCCAGACCGCCTATTTTGACCTTATCTCGCTAAACATCGAACTGTTGAGTACGTTTACGACCGTTCTTCGTCTCTTGAAACTTGTGCAGAGCAGGTCCCGGACTACTAGTAACACGGATTGTAACAGACAAATCTTTTATACGGAGTCAAGGCATTTGTGCTCAGCCCCCTGTCACTGGTCAACTATTAGTCCACAGCTGTCATGTTAATTAAATAGCCTACCGTAGTCTTTGTTTTGATTGGCTCAAACAGAGACATTCAATTGCCCGCGGCTATTGTGCCAGTGTGGCCTTAGCTAGCCAATCAGAAAAGCTCTCACAAAAAAGAAATTTTGCATAATTGTGAGAGTTGTCGGTGGTATTTACTTGCTTTGTGTTTTGTGAATTGTGATTGGTTAGCTGTGAGAAAAATGACAAAAGCGGGACTGACGTCCCCCTGTTTCACACCAAGACTGACCTCACTGAAGACTAACGCGTTGTACAATACTAACATGTCCAACAGTCCTGACCAACGGGATTCTATCCAAGACTTTTCAGAAGGAAGTGATCTCTGTCAATATGACTGACACGCATACCTCGATACCTTTCTTTGTGTTAGGTATACATGCCAAACAACCAACCATCAATGGACAAATTTACCCGGTAAATAAAACTAATTTGACCTTACACGCCTTTTTGTGTCGTTAAAGCCTGCTAAGCCTAATGGTATAAGGATTTTATTAAAGAAAACCGATGGACATGATTCACTCGCGTAGGAACCGCATCCAAGACATGCTGCTTGCTAAGCCTTGTCGTGCTGCGTCTACTCACTGTTATTTGGCTGCTTAAAGAAAAACCTTACATTCAATGAAATGACTAGAATTCCGGTCCACAGCAAGCCTTGTGGCCTACTGAGTACGGCCCCAACAAAGGTTTTCAAATCCCGGCCAATGAGAGGCGCATCTCGAAGCGTAATTTCTATCTCCAGTTTCACATCCTGCTGTTTTCATTCAGGTTTTGCCCTAACCCCCGCGATACAAGCTTCACCATTAGATTCAACTACTGACGACCAACAATGATTTCAACTACTTTTGTTTGGTCGTTTTCTTGGAGTTAATTAAGGAATATACCTGGAAAAAGTAGTCCGATTTGTGAAAAGAGTTGTTTTTGGACGAGAAACATGGATTACAATGATTGCAATGCCCATTTCCATGTGTTGTTTGAAATGCAGATTTGACTCGCTTTTTGGTCGCCCGCTGTGCGAGTTTTTTTCCTATCTTTGGAACGATGAATTTTTTAAGAAACATCGCTTTACTAAGGGATTAGTAGAGAATGGTTGATGTGGTGTAAGTCGCATAAGACGGCTTGCAGTGTGATTCAGGATAACAGCTTGACAAACTGTATGAAATGCTAAGACAAAATTAAAAATCCCCGGGAGACTCTAGCAGGATTGATTAGATATTATGGACACAGGATATATGCCATCATTCAGTACCAAAAATGGAATCCTTGTCATTGTTGCCTACTGTGTTTTAGCTACATGAATGACAACTACAGCTATCTGTCCAAAAAATCTTTATAATGTAGAAACATTTTCCTAATATTCACTTACTAAAGGTAAAACCATAGTTACGCGATAGTCAAAACGCGTGAAATATCAGCCATGAACCCAGCCCAGAATTTTGAACGCGGCAAAACAATAATATATTTATATATCAATCGTTCGTGAATGTTCCATTTCTAGGCTTACTTTATAGAATTCAGCTTATCTGAAATAAAATTTCAAGAAAAATTTTCGTTATGGGGAGAAAACAATGTTTAGTCTTCGAGGTGAATGAGCGCGTTTCATTTGAATGCTGTCCATTTATGTTTTCATAAAAAATGGCCATCAAATTGACAACTTTTTTGTAGTGATGTTGTTTGTTTTAACATTCAATTCTTAAAAGCGCTTTTAAGGCATCTATTTTTCTTATTACTCTTGCTACGTAAGACTAATCTAGCCGTTGTCCCGTTGCGCGCGAATACCAACTTGACGTAGCCACTGATTATTTGGCAAGCTAAACTTCTTATCAGAAGACTCATTCAAACACACAGAATTAGATTTTAATGACAGGCTATCTACCTCTAACAGAAACTGACTGGCATATTCAATGACAAACACAATGACTGCGTACTGCAGAACAAAATCATGACGGGCAAAAAAATGGCAAACAATTAAAAAACATAGCATTGCATAGTGCCCAGTCATTCAATAGATCACGATTTTTAAGTCTTGTAAGAAACAAACAAGAAAAGTGCATTAGATCAGTGTATATCGTAGTAAAGAAAAGTCTATTTTGAGACATCGTTCCGTGGGTATGCAAATGTTGTTCCCGCTCTCCGTGAGGCCATTCGTGGTCGGCCACCAGCCCTTCCATGTCCACCAACTCAAGGCCAGAGCGTTGCCACCGGCGGAAGAGAGATAGTGATAAACCATTATTGTTTTAAATATTGAGCAGAAATCTCAATGGAAGATAATAAGGCCTTTTATGATTTATATGATATGTTATTGAACACAGATCTTGCTGCGTTAACGCGCTGTTTCAGGTCTTTCACTGCAGCTTGTCGAATCAGAGCAAGAAGGTCGAAAATATGGGTGACGAACAAAGCTTGTTATTGAATACACTCAGGAATGATCCTATTCTGTATAGCGACTAATCTCGCAAAATTGACCTTAAATCAAACATTGAAATTAGGATAATAAAATGAGTAAACAGACTTCAGTATTTAGAGTCAACAACGAATCGCGATTAAAATTGGTTAATTTTGCATTGGGAAAAGTGAAAAAGACGACAGCATTTGATACGAATTGGGATTTAATTGTTTTCGTCCTTTATTTTTTTTTTTCGCTAAAAGTAGGGAAAAATTTGTAAAAATATTGAAATAATGAACTAATGTATTCAAAACAAAATATGAATGACCATCAGTCTTTGTGAAAGGTACCTGTGGATATAGAATTTCTGTTTACCGGTAACTGAAGAAACCACGATATGATAGTGAAGACATTGCCTAAGGCTATCACAAAAAACATCAACAATAACACCAGAAATGCAGCTTCAAAATGAATAGATCGCACAGCTAGCCTTTAGTGACGAACAAACCGCGAGAAGTTTACGAACATTTGCCGAACGACTTGCAATCATCACTGAACCTCTAGCTTTCATCTAGTGTAAGAGGCAGCACTTCAGTTCATTTCAATAAAGTTGACTTTCAATGAGACTAATCCTCAGATTTATTGATTGGTCTCTTGAGTATTAGAGTATCTGAAGGGTTATGAGTTGGTGACAACGTTGATAACACGGCAGCAAGTACCTCATTCACACCGTGTTCGAGCTCAAAGTGACTAGTCGGCCATCACTATATTCTATACTGTGACAAAGGTCTATTACCACTGTTACAGTAGACAAAAAACTTTGCAATCTGATAACTGTGTAGCCTCGAGGCATGTAAGTGACTCGGTTGTCCGATAGTTCAAGTAACTTAATCCAAAGGAACAAGAAACGTTTACCATCAATGACACTTTTATCTTGTAGCACTCGCTTGGGTCGAGTAGTAAATTGACAAATGCGCACTTAGTCGGTACCATTTTCTTGTATGATTTGGGTCAGAAATTGTCATAAAACCTCACACTGTAAGCCACGTACACAGTTCAATTTGCAAGTCTATTTCCATACTTTCCAAACAATTTCAGTGAACGTAACGATGCGTAGATTATTTGTGTAACTAATTAGACTACTTCTTAATTGATGTAAAGTGTTTTTGATGATCAGACCGTGTACTTTTCACCTCTCTATTTCCGTAATTCTGAATAAACTGTTCTCCACTGAGGAACCTAGAATGGTAGCCATTCACCTGAAGTATAAAGCTGACTTGTTTATGAACGCTCTATTATTATGATACAGTAGTTGTTCTGTTGTTATAATCCACTTAGTATTGATGGGTGCTTCCATGAAGGAAGCTGAAAATTAAAAAGCTGTTTTCAATAAGTTTGTTTTATTTATGGAAAGTACAAAAGCGAACTGCCGGTAAAAAGAGACACTGAATCGAAAAACAAGGAAAAGCGAAATTAGTTTCACAAGAGACTTGAAAGCTAAAAAGAAACACAATTGATMAAAGTTTCTCGTAATTAAAATGTCGATCTCTATTTAATGTAAAAAGAGTGAAATCAATAGATAAAGAGCTGTAAAACGTTTAGCATCAATTTCCGGCTGGTGTCGTTCAATCTTATATGCACATGCGTGCAAAGAACAAAAGGTGCAACTCGTCGAGGTACAAGCTAATATTGCTCTTTTTGCTTCTAAACGCTTCAACAACTTTTTGGTATTGGAATATAAGATGCTTTATGCTCTCATTGGATAAAATGAAAGATATGTCCCTTCTTGAGCAAAGATCTTTGGTAATTGTTCACTTTTGAACGTATTTAATGTAGGTAAAAACATGAATAAAGATTCGATCAAAGACAGAGCAACCAACCAACAGAACCCGTCACGAACTTACAGAGGCTACAGAATAACAACAATAMAATGTAACAATGATAACAATGCAATATAGTAATTATTATATAGTAAAATATGATAACACAATGAAATATTRTCGTTATCCCTTTATTTTTCTAGCTAATCCGGCATTTTTGTAAAGCATTAAGTCCGCCGCATTATGAGAACCATTTCTTACAGTAACGTTTCCCACTGATAYGGCTTTTCGATSAGTCAGACGTCGTGGACCGTTGACTGCCGTGAGAACTGAGGGACGCTTCATCTCTACCAGACTGATTCAAGAAGTCCTTAGAGAGTTCTAGAATTGACCTCCCCATTACCCTCATGTACYCTTTATCAAAGCAAATCAATAAAGTATACTAAASTTCGTTAGACAAGAACCAATTTGTTCTCGTTGGTATTTCTRCCACTAAATTAGCAGATTAGACTCTTGCAGTGACCGTTGTGCTCCAAAATCCGATTAATATAATCCTTCTCYCCTYGAAACGATGCTAAGAAAGAAGAGCTCACGAAAAAACTATAAAAACCCTTAAAGAAGGGCACGTACGATAATAATAAGTAATAACAATAGAACGCAGTAAATTTTTAAGTGCGATGGCTTACAATGGCCGGTGTAAAATTGATTGCCTTGAATGGATCACCGCGAGAACAATGATATCTTCAACAACTGCCTCAGGG